TACCAGGCCAACAAAACCGACTAGTTACGAGCTTGACGGTAGTTCGAATACCTGGGTGTGATAAGCCATGCAACGTATTGAAGACGTTACGGCGATAACTTTTAGGTACGATAGGGCGAGGAGTACTAGTGGAAATGTCACAGAGAATAGTATCTTTTCCTATACCTAAGGGTTTCTCGGCTAATTGTAGAGTTGTTTTCGACAACTCATGCCGAAGATCGGTATCTTCTTTTTGAAGACGAGCCAGTTTTACAAGGTCTATGCCGTCGATTTGGGTGAAGGGACAAATACGTGACAAGGCATCTGCCACAGTGTTGTTCACTCCGGATACATGGCGAATATCCGATGTAAACTGTGAAACGTAATCTAGTTGTCGTGATTCCCTGGGTGAATATTTATCTGAAGTTGAGTTCAGAGAGTACGTCAGAGGTTTGTGGTCAGTGAAAATGATGAATTCACGACCCTCAACTGAATGTCGAAAATGGCGTATAGCACAGTACATAGCTAGAAGTTCTCTTCCAAATGTGCTGTACTTCGTTTCAGCTAATTGAAGGCGCCTCGAGAAAAAGGCGAGTGGTTGCCACTCTTTGTTGACTAGTTGTTGCAGAACTGCGCCGATTGCAGTGTCTGATGCATCAACTGAGATACTTAACGGTGCCGTTGGATCCTGATACATGAGAAGGGTGGCATCCGCAGTAGCTTTCTTTACCTGAGTAAAAGCATGTCAAGAAGACGCGTCGAGTTCGATAGACTTGTTATTCCCTCGAAGGAGGTCTGTTAATGGCTGAATCAGAAAAGCATAGTTAGGTATAAATCGTCGGTAATAACTTACCAAGCCGTTAAATGTGCGAAGACTTTTCACTGTCTTTGGCTCCGGAAAGTTCAGTATCGCTTCGACTTTAGTAGCCAGTGGGTGAATGCCCTGACAGTCAATAGTGTGACCCAGAAAATCGAGTGAGTCAACGCCTATTTGACACTTTTGGATATTAATGGTAACACCATGTTGGCGTAACTTTTCAAATGCCAAGTCCAAGTGTCTAAGGTGAGTTTCCTTATCTGGACTGGCAATGAGGCAGTCGTCTAAGTATGCATATACAAAGTCGAGACCGCGAAATACTTCATCGATGAAGCGTTGGAATGTTTGGGCCGCATTCCGGAGGCCGAATGGCATACGTAGGAATTTGAAAAGTCCGAAAGGTGTGATGATAGCCGTTTTCGGAATATCTTCCGTTGCCATCGGGATTTGGTTATACGCTTTAACCAAGTCGATTTTTGAGAATATAGATGCTCCAGATAACGTTACCGTCAAGTCGTGTATGTGAGGCAAAGGGTACCGGCGTTCACTCGCCGGTAATCACCAGTGGGTCGCCAATCGTTACTATCCTTTTTCGGTACCATATGCAATGGGGATGCCCATGGACTATTCGATGGCCGAATGATGCCAAGGGTGAGCATATGATCGAATTCATTTCTAGCAATTCTCAGTTTGTCAGGGGCCAGTCGTCGTGCTTTAGATGTCACGGGCTGTCCTGAGGTTATGATGTGGTGCATAACATTGCTGGTTATGCACAGGAGATCGTTAGATGGGCAATTGAGTTCCGGATATTTGTCTACAATCGGTTGAAAAGTTGGATCGAGGATTGCTTTCATCTTTATGATTGACAAGCTGGGGCCACTGTAAGTTATGCCTTTGACAGACAGACTAGTAGTGTTGTCAATTATTCGTTTACGGCGGACGTCTACGAGCAAATCATGATGATTAAGTAGGTCCGTGCCGATGATGGGTATTGTGACGTCGGCGATAAATAAAATCCACTGAATAGGTTCGCGTAAACCTACGTTCAGATAGATGTATTTCCGACCAAAGGTTGCAATTGGTTTTCCATTTGCAGCCTGTAGGTTGAAGTTAGGATCCTTCTGTCGATCTGCTGCTGTAGCAGGAAGAACGCTGACTTTGGCGCCTGTGTCGACTAGATATCTAGTCTGGCTCATTACATCATGGATGTAAAGTAAGCGGCTAGTGCCACCGGCGACGGTTGCCGCTAACGCGTGTCGGCGGGATAGTTTCCCACAGACTTGGAGGCTTTGCCGAAATCACAAGGTTTTCGACAACGTTTCGCTTCCTGGCCATAGGTGTTGTGATACCAACACCAGTCAGGATTTTTGAGAGAACGTGTGTTGGACTTAGATCGTCCACGTGCGTTTTGCCGTTGAGGGGATTTAGAACGACAGTAGGAGGAATTGCTAGGCTTGTTTGACCTAAGCATCTGCTGGATGGAGTTGCATAACTCTATAATTGCAGAATCCTTACTCGAAGTCTGTTCGGTAACTGAGTATACTTCGGTAACTGACCGTTTCGTTATCTCTAGAATTCTATCTGCAGAGACAGCTAAGTCATCCATGAGAACACCCTGAAGTGTCACAAGTACAGTCTGAACTAACTGTGGCAGTTTGGATAAAAATAGTTCTCTGAACAGTCCTTCGTCGAACTGACTTTGGCCAATAATCTCTTTCATTCTTGCCAGCATGCTCACGGCTGACTAACCCCCTAACTCGATGTTACGAAATAATTCATCCAGACGTTGTCGATCCGTGAGAACGTTTCTCTTGAGGAGGGATGCTTTGAGCAACTTGTACGAGTTACTTACCTCTGGACCCGATATCTGCGGAGTTACGCACCTGCTGAATTCCCGCGGTAGGGCGTGAATAACTGCAAGGAACTGTGAACGTTGATCGGTTATGCCATGCTCACAAAAATCAGACTCGGCTATCTGAAACCACGTTTCAGCATTATCTGGCCAATATGGTACGAGCTGAATTGTTTTGGCGGTTGAGTGTATGCGAATAACCTTGGGGCTAGGATCACTCATGACGAAATGTATGCCGATCACAATATAGTACAAGAACAAACACGAAAGGGATCGAACTCACCGGGTTTATCTCCGTGTGAATTGAAGATGTAGTTCGTGATTGGGCTCACCAGTTTAGAGGTTGCAGGTATCGACGTTCGCGAATTGTACGGAGTATACTAACGCAAGATCTTATACCAACAACTTCTATAGTGTTCGCACTTCGAGTACCAAAGACAAAGCAAAAGACCAGATTAAGCCGTCCAAAGTACGTATTATATTTCGAGACCAAATTGCGGGTTGAAGTGAATGCTTAGCTAGCTAGTAATCGTGCACGCACGTGACACGACGGAGTACCAAATGGCTGCGATGCTTGACCGGAAGCCTTCAGCTAAACAAGTCGAATTAAACAGTGAGGGTCAGCATCCGATGTTGAGTGATGATTGCTGTTGTCAATAATTTTGGGGAATTATTTACTGCTACAACGTCTACCCGCGATTTGGTCCCGAAGTATACTAGGTACTTTGGACGACAAAATCTGGTCGTTTGCTTTATATTTGGTACTTGAAGTGCGAACTTTAGAGAAGTTGTTGGTATAATATCTTGCGTGAGTATAATCCGTACAACTCGTGAACGTCGATACCTGCAACCTGTAAATACCCATCGGCAAGTCACTGGATAGATGATTGGCTTAATCATGTATCAATGTGGCAAGTAAAATCAAACGCTACTTTCTAAATAACGTTGATCGACATTCTTTACAAAAATTTTGCCCCCTAAAATTGTTGCTATAATGACACAGTGTGCAGAATATCACCGTTTTTTCCACTTCGTAAAGTAGTAATGTTTTCTGACTATCACAAAATAGATCTGAGGAAATATTAGATTTAGTATTCCTTTTCTACATTGTCAATGGAAAAAATATTTAGAAATAGTAAGTTGTGCACCGTCTCAGTTAAGACAGAATTTAGAGTAAATTAGGGGATTAAACATAAATAATTTAGCTCATTTAGTTTAGTATTTTCACAGTCTCTGAAACACTCTTAGTGACAGCTAGTGGAATATGGAAGAAGCAACAACCCTGACATTCCCCTATAAAACTATTTCAAGCCGCAATAAATTCAGCGAAAGAATCCCCAAGACATCTTTCCTGAAAATAACATATTTTCAGTATAAGTTGCTACTAGTTATTTTATAAAACACGAGATATCTCTTTTTATTATGCGAATTACCGAACAGATTGGCGAATAAAACACTTCTAATTTGATTTCGCCTGCTTAGATTATTAAAACATGCAACATTCATATACAATTAAAATGCACGTGAGAATTTTTAAGGTAGTGAGGAGGCGAAACCATTTTTCGTAATATTCAATAGAGTTTACCTTCTATAACTAAACACAGTGGAAGTTTTTGACCAACAAACTTATATTCTATGTAGTCTTGTTTGAACAAACACAAATCCCTATCAGCCATTAATATACTTAAACATCTAAGTTAGGATTCTCCCTGTATTCCTTAAAAAGTTATGTTAACATATGGAATTTGAACTAACATGGTACCGCTTGAAATTTCATAAGTCTAAAACTGGTCTAGAAACAGTCATGACTAATAAGGAAAACACACTGAAAGTATTCGGCTAATACTACTGGTATATGAATATCAGGCCACCACTGAACTGCTTAGTTTTAAGGCATACCTACCATCGGTACAAAATTCTGTGACGATCAGAACTAACACCAACTACCTAACATATAATAAATATTCTCTATTTTTCACAGGCAGTAAGATTCAGAATTTACGCCAAGAGTCGCGCCCAAAGATAATAAACTTTTGGAGCACTGAAAACATTTAAAGTAGAAAAACCACTAAGGTATCATGCACTTTTTGGAAACCTGCTGAATCTATTTTATTTCTAGTTGTTGTGCATAGACAGCAGGTCTATGTATTTAGTTAGAAGTTCCCGCCCCAATAGAAAAGCATAAATAAAAGCCTTAAACCGATAGGATTCGCTCCTTAAAGTGCGCCCGAGATAATTATTAGGTACGGTATTAACTAGGAGGTAGTGACATAAGGCGACTATAAAAATGATCAGTTATGAACGCCACGAAAATAGACCTAATATTTTAAAAAGTAAAACAGAAAAACTCACCTACGAGCGTCAAATCTCCAGAAAGGAATCTGCCCTGAAATATGAGTTTCAGGTGGTTAGATACTGGTTTATTTCCCAAACCTGCAATGCTAGCTTAACTAAAAATATTACTAACTATGAGGCCAGTTTTTGAATAAAGAACTGGTTATCTCTTCGACTGTAGTACTTTGGTCATAATCGTTTTCATAAAATGATCCATCAGGCATAAGTAACTTTAGATGTACCTGTGTGGATTTGATAGATTATAAAAAAACAGTTACTGTCATAATCAGCTTCTTTGCTTGCTGACAGATGTAGAAAATGCCAGTCCTTGCAAAGACCACATCAAAAGAGAAAATAAAAGCAGTAACCTAGAGATTCGTAATGGCGCCACACATATTTACGATGGAGAAATAGTAAAACTTAAAATTTCACTCAATTTTTGACAGAGAAAATAGTTGTTCGGAAAATCGATAGTAGTAAGTGAAATCCTCAGTTCAGAGTAAGTTCATTTGGTGTTCAAGACTCCCAAACTAATTGAACCAGCAAATAATTCAATATCCCATAATTATATTAGAAAGGAGATGCCAGTCAAACGACATCAAAGTCTTCCAACTATCTAAACTATCTCCGTTTTGTGTACTTATGGGAAATTACTACTCAGCTTATGAAAAACCTATCTTTTGGAGTGATAGGGCATTGTAGCGATCAATAATTCTCCGAAATTATTCGATAGCAGATATCATTATTCAAAATTGTATGGCGGGATTCACCGCTCAGGTAGACTGGTTGGGCTGATGGTATGCGGCGAATCATCCTCGGCATCTGGCTCACTATCATGTTGTATCTGCAGTGCACCTTAAATGTTTGAACTTTTGTTTTGGCGCCACACCACCTTTTTTCCGGCGTGACTGTTTGCACGTGTCTAGCTTTCTTGTTGTGCTATAATTAAGCGCTCTCTTCGAGATCGCTACTCCAGCCAGTTAACAGATAAGTTGTACAACATTCTTATTCATTAAAGTTGACATTTAATCTGTAGTAAAAATATGGTTCTCATCAGCGCACACTACCAAGGCACAAGCCTTCTTACTTCGAGTTCGTTAATCGGTACTTACACGTTAGGTACAGTACTGATGAGTGTATAAAGAAGAGAAGTCTTAAGTAAGTGCGGTTAATTAAGGTCTACATTGATTACAACCAGTACATACATGTCGATGTATTTATGCCCAATGTTAAGTTAGCTAAGCTCACATCCCTGCTTATCAGTACTGACCTCGAAATATACCTGGTACTGTGGACAGTGTGACTGCTGTTCTGATTCTGCTTACTAACTGTTCTGTGGTCTATAACGAGTAAGTACATCGGGTCTGAAGGACAATGTCTTTCAAGAAACATATGACTAAATGAAGTTGTTTGTTTCCGTTCCAAAGAACCCATAGAAAGTTACAAGTTTAAGGAATTATGAGTTACACTTAATCTTAGGGGCTATTTGAGTTGTTCTGCTGTACTCTATGATTTCGGAGAAATGTATATAGTTAGGCCATGGATTATTAATCCTCTTATATCAGTTTATATATGTCTACTGCTGTGCCCTAAAGGCATAGCACACGATATTCGCAGAAGCTGCAGAGGAAGGCCAGTCTGAAGTTATATTAGAGTTCGCAGCTTAGTTGCTTTCAGAAACTGTTGATCGTGAGATTATGTCTCCTTTAGGGAACATTTTTGTCACTCAACTAAACTGAATTTTCAAGGTGTGCTCATGTGACTCTGCAAAGGAAATATGCATTAATGTATTCGGGCACGTGATACATTGAATGCCTTAGGAATTTGTGGATAATCAGTAGTGCGTTTGGCGTTTCACAACTTTATCATCGAACACCCCTCCCCGTAAATTGGACGCTCTTTCACTGAACAGATGGATTATACAAAAGGCACGACAAAATACGGTTTCTGCAGCTTATTTTTTCGTCTCCTCCTGTTCCGAATGGAGCATCATGTTTCGTGCTTGAGTTTCGAGGCTCCAGTAGAGACTACCTATCTACAGCCTTGAACCCAACCTTCCTGCTTTACCGACCTCACTTTTGTTTAGGAGAGGTTTAGGGGAGCGTTGTATGGGAATCAAACTTGAATGACATACGTGGCAGACGAGTGCTACGCTCATATCAAATGGTTTTGGAAAACCGTCAATACCCGGCAAGCTCAGCCGGTCACTTGTGTAAGCACTAACCGTGCATAACATTTCTTTACTTCGTTGTTCGGACGAGAATAACTGATTTCACTTTGACGTGGTGGCTGACGAAATTGTCTTGTAAGATGACGAACACTGTCGAGGAGAGGCTTCAAGAAAGATCACCCTAAACCACGCAGTACTCTAAAGACCCGAAACCACCGAATCGAAGTTCACAGATTGTCCATTTGACTTCGGAATTTAGTCAATCCATACTGTCAGACCCATCCATAACATAAGTCACCATTTTATTAGTATACATAGAGCTAAACATTATGACACTTAACAGTAGTTAGCAGTTTCGCATTCTACTACTCATAGAGGATAATATCACACCTACACAAATCAGTCAGTGGGGTCGATGTTGAATTTAGTAAAGGAGTGCCATACAATGACTGCCGCATTTTTCAGAAACGTTTACTCCAATGAAATGACTTCGTGAACGCTGTGCCAAGTGATTTGCTACGTGAATACGCCGATAGTTCGGGGGATATTCAATTTCAAGTTAGCGTCTACTATTTTATTTTCAGAGATTGCACTTTTATCTGTTCTCTTACTACTCTAGTCAGCTAAACATATTATCGAACAGCTGGGAGCATTATATCCTGCCCTCGTTAGTTGGGGTAGCATTATAAGGGCCTGTCCACAGGTCCAGGGTAGGCGAAGCCAAGAATTAGCTAGTCATGTTTGAAGCATCGTTCCAGGAGTAGCCTTGTTTCCAACCTAGTGGCATTTAGGATCTACCAAATGAAGCTTTCGCCCAAACTCACAAAATCCCGACTAGTTCGTGTGGGTAAAGTTTTGAATTAGTTAATAGGTGAAACGTTTCCACATTAGGCGAGCCATGTAGGTGGTAGCTCTTAATAGTAGAAACAGCCAATAAATGATAATCATCTGCACCGGAAAGGCTTCGTTCTACGTCATAGAGGAGTGATTACCGCCGTATAGTTATGTATAATATTGAAACAGCAAACAAAACTCAAAAGTTAGGTCAAATACAAAAAGCAAAGATTGATGTATTGAAAATGGATGAAGGAATACTCTGAATCACGAAGTATTAGAATGCTAATACAGCCCTTCAATTTTGATGGCTGGGTAATTTATTATTTTCTATCACTGAGCCAACCACGAGGGGAGTGGTGTGTGTTTTCCATTGATTCTACTAAGAAATAGGGAAAATGTCCTGATGGTTGTATTTGTAATCTCAGCGACTCTTACGATTGTCATTCCATACGGATTAGTTCGCCATTATTCTGATTCCTAGCAGCGTCCGGACTCGTCATTACCCATTGCTGTAACAACACTACTTTTCAAGTTTAACTGGACACTTACTGCTGTGGTGAGTCACTGGCATTTAGTACTGCCAAAATATTATTATCGGTGGACTAATAGACGTTTTACTAAACAATTTTATCACTTTATGAATAACCTACCATACCTATCCCTGGTAACACAACCCTCAAATATGACGTGCATCTTGGTTAAATTTCTTCAATGGCGATGCTTTGCATTATACTGTGCACATTACTTCGGCCTGTTGTAAAGTGTCTTTATAGGTATTATTACATTGCCTTTTCTTATGTCTATCTTGTGTACGTGAATAATTATGAACATGCCTACTCCCTGTATATGTTTTTTATCACGCTGATGATGCCTGTAAACTGGCGTCCCTCACGTACAAAAACTGAGAATATATTATTATCAAATGATAGTTGGCTTAAACTGATTATTGACTCCAATTCCGTGTTCTATATTGGCGAGAAAAGCTAAGAAATGGCCAGCAACGAGGTGTGTCTATACCTTTTGTGTATATGCAGACTAATGTTAGGAAATTCAATGATGAAAGTGTTCCATTGGCTACCTAAGTTTTGATCTACCACAAGACGACATCTAAATTATGTTGCCTGCTTTTATTTTGTTAGCTTAACATTATTTGGGTTACTTGTATACAGAATAGGTATGCAACATCAAACTATTCACATGAGTAAAAAATACTCCCTGTTATTTTCAGCAGTAGATGATTTCCATAATATCGTTTTTACGAGCTAGTATATAGCAATTTGATCTCTTCTTCCCCGCTGTTTCATTATAGGGCAAATATTCTTAGTCATAGGTAAACTTCCACGTAGTCCGTCCCGCCGCTTGTCTGTGGTAGCTTTGGTTGATTCCAAAAGGATTGGTGCTGGAACTGATTTTATATGGTTTGTAGTATGTAGCGCGTTAAAGCCGTGCCGCTACTGTCAGTGGGGCTAATCCTTTCACCCGTTAGTCAACCGCTGTAGCCGAGAAGAAAGATAACAATTATAATAACAGATATAATTGGTGCAGATCATGTAGACTTAAAAAGAAAACAGATAGCTAATGAAATTTTGGACTGATATGTATTTATCATTAGAAACAGTAATAATAATGGTATAAGAGACGTAATGGTTGCAGTGATCAAAAGATTAAGGCAAGGGAGAATGTGAAGAAGCAGACAGACCAATTTAAGTGTATACCCATTAATAGTGTGTTATAAGAGGATAGGCCTTTTGGACGTAGTCCTTCTGTCGCTGTATGATTGTCCAGCCTCCACTTAAGGCTGTCTATGGACGTTGCAGTAGCCGCACCTGCCGGCAGAGAGTCCCAGGGGCTGCGCACTGGAGGTGAAAAGAAGTGGAAGCTTACTGGAGCTATCCCTCGTGTATTGCCAAGAGGAAGCCCGTACTTACTTTATGATAAAATACCTTTGAGTGATTCTAGTCATTTGTAATCTCCTAGGGGATAATTAATTCGCGGCTAAGCCAACGGAAGCTAGGAGAGCTAAGACCTGATTTTTTTAGCTGTTTATCATATGGTTTATTCTGGAGCCCTGTAAGCCCAGGTAGCGCTCCGACGTTGTGCAAGACAAATTTTTGTTGTACAGGGTGTAACTTACATTCTCCAGCCTACTCGTGAGTAGTTGTACTACTCAGTACTTTTTCAAGTTGAAATTCTTACCATTGGCTGTCGCTCAATCTTCCAGAAGTTTTAGGTCTGCCAGCAGCCTATTTGAGTCTTTCGAGCACTTTGTTGCTCTCCAAATCTTTACGTTGTCTGTGTAAAAAAGAATCGGGCAGCTTAGACGGTATGGTAGCTCATTGATAAAAATCAAAAACATCAGTGGCGCTTGGATAGATCTCTG